TCAGTTTTATCCTCAGAATACCTTTCAAAACTATAGGGCGGAGAACATACTGTCTCTTCAGTTCCAGAACCTTCAAGTGGATTGGAACTTCGAATGCCACCAGTGTTTGTATCCCTACCTGAGCTCTGGATTGTAACTCCCATGAGTACAATTAAACAGTAGATTGCTCTGCATGTCTTTCTCGTTTGGGCAATATTCATTAAGGGGTGTGGCTGAAAATTTTTTAAACGATTCGAATTTTGACAGGAAGTCACAATGACATATTTCAAACTTGAAAACTATAATTGACATATACAGACTTTGCCTACAAGCAAGACAGTAATTGCTGTCAATACAACATTAACTGTGCTGGTAATTCGTGAGTAAATTCTACTACTCAAAGACTGTTTTTGAAAATTTTTTAGTATATTGACAGATGTCAAACTATTCCAGTGCAATCACTCCCGACTGTATTTGTGATTCATTGGATAGATAACGTTGGCATAGTATTCAATGCACAGCTCATTGCACAACATAACACTCTAGGATTTGCAGTTTCGATAGTTCAGTAGATTGTATTACACTCTTTGTTAAATTAATCCAAAATTGAATCTGGCTCTTTTCTTTTTATTTTGCCAATTTACAATTCCCAAAGAGTTTGGAATATTCAATTGCATCAAATAATCTCAAACGCTGGAGTTTAGCTTACAGAACTTGTGCTTTAATTCATAAAAAGTATATCATTTGATGAAAATATAATTTTATTAGTTTATTATTATACAAATGGGTATTTCCTGTAACTAGATCTTCGCTTGGTGCTTTGAGATATAAACACACGAGCATTTCCTCTGGCATACAGAGAAAACAGTTGTAAAGTTCATGGCTGCTATAATCTATCAAAACCTCGTTTTAGTAATTCAGAAAATAGTAGGTGGCCAGTAACCAGCACATTTATACAATGCTACATGTTTCAGAAGCTATCTTGCATTCATGCCATCGTTCCCGTTGGTAAATCGTCTCATGGACAAAAAGAGATGCACAGAGAAGACATATCAAAAGCCTGCAAAATGACAAAAACACATTTATGGTTGTTATTCATTTGCACTATGTCTATGTTTCCATATCAACCTTATTTGTGATACTTCTCGCTAAATTAAATGCTTGCTTCTTTTCTCATTGAAGCTTTACCCAAGTCAACCAGCTTCACTAACAAGATTCCGTCATTGTTACGACTTCCTTGTGCCATTTGTTTTATTTGGTAATTTTAATTCTTCAAATGCAGCCAGGTGTTGCTTTCTAGGCAGAATACTCCTTCTATTCATAGGCTCTGCACGGTGCAGTTAGCCAAACATAGTTCAAGCTAAACAGCACATTTCCCTATGGACAATAATGCTTTGTGGCTAAGCAGGAAACGCCACGTACCTATCCTGCTTTGAAACTACATTGGTCTTCATAAAACTGCACGTGGAAGAGTATGTCCTGAAAATAAAATATTAAAATTAAGAAAATCCTGCAAGCAAGTAGACATCATCCAACATCATCGTAAATGTTAGAACAGAGCTAATGCTTCAGCCATTCGAATGGTAGGTTGCTGTTCAGCACAAAGGACTAAACTTCATTGCAGGTAATAAAGACTGGAAAAATCTTGTTTGGCATATCAAATAAAGCAATTACTCTTTAATTCCTTTCTTGAACACTTTCAGCGGGCTGATCCTGGCTAGAAAAAGAGTCCCTTGATTCAGATGGGCGCCTCCTTTGGATCGAATAAGCCACACGGAATGGCTGACCAAGAATTTCTCCATTTTCAAGAATAGCCTTTGCCTTGATAGAGTCCTCAATACTGTCAAAGTGCACAAAGCCATACCCCCTACATCTGTCAGTAAAGGCACTCAAGACTAGCTTGGTACTGAATCTGCCCTTAAACTCGGCAAGCTTCTCATTGAGGTATTCATCAAAGTCTCGAGGCGTAAGGTTGTAGCTGAGATTGAAAACACCAATAGTCTCGTTGGGCTCAGCCGGATCTTCACGAAGTTGCCTAGAACGCTTTCTAGGATATTCGTCCCTGAAGCCACCGTAATCGTCTCTGTACTTGGAAGATCCAAATCTGTCGCCATCTCTGTAGCCACCGTACGGCCTTCTTCTGTCATCATCCCTATAGCCATTGTACGGTTCTCTCCTGTCGCTGTCGCGAGGTGCGTCGTAGCTGCCTCTTCCTCGGTAGCCAAAGTCCCTACGGCCTCCTCTGTCAGGAAACTCTCCGTTTCTTCCATAGCCACTTCTTTCTCTGTCAGTAAACCTATCACTATCACGAGACCTGTCATATTCACGATCTCTTCCTCGGTCAGCAAACCTATCACTGCGAGGCCTATCGTAGTCACGGTCTCTTCCTCGGTCAGCAAACCTATCGCCGCGAGACCTATCGTAGTCACGGTCTCTTCCTCGGTCGACATCCCTACGGCCTTCCCTATCAGAAAATTCGCCATTCTTATCACTTTCTCTTTCTGAAAGCCTTTGGCTGTCCATTTTCTCTCTTTTCTTCTCTAGTTGATGGTAAATCCGAGAGTGTGCTTGGCTTCTCCTGTGACTGCTCGATTTCATCTCTCTTATCTTCTTCCCATCCAGACGTGGCGGCAGTGGTTGCTGCTTGCTCTTCCTTTTTAGCTGCTCTGGCCATACAAGGGGAAGCAAAATTTTTCTGAAAAGTTTGAGTTTCAAACAAAAAGCACAAAAGTAAAAATCCGAATCTTAATTGAAAACAACTAAGGCATCAACTCAGCATTATGATTATCACCAACACAAATATTTGCATGTCCTATTTATACATCTTATGACTAAATGCTAGCACTTTTGGATATGTTTGTCTTGGCAAGTATTTTTTCAATACAACGCCAAAACATCCTACTTGTTTAAACTTCTAACAATAATTCGCATTCATTTTATTTAACTCAAAATATGGCATCATTTTGCTGGTTCTTGAACAAATAAATCAGGAAACTCTCTAAACAGCTCATTCTGTGTTTCAGTAACAATCAGTAGCTGGTATGCGGTAAATATTTCATCATAATTTCTTGCACAGTCCAGCGCCTTTCTATATGCTGCTGCACTTTCTTCTCCGCTTGGACAGGTATTTCCCAAATACACATACAGTTTGAAATACCTCGGATCAATCTCAATTCCTTGTGAGAGATAGTGTGGATCGGCCCTTCCCAGTGCCTCGCTGATCATGTATTTAAACAAAAAGATTCTTGGATCATTTGTAAATACTTTTTCTGCCTTGTCCATAAGACTAACAGCTTCTTCTATTTTTCTTTCCATTAGGAAGTATTCCAAGGCAATACAAACAAGATTCATGGAATCAGTGTAGTCTTTCAATGACGATTTAATCAACCTGTAGGCCTCTGTGTGGTTTTTTTGACGAATATGCCATACAATCAACGAACAGAATGCACAACTGTTAGGAAGCACAGTGACACATTTTTGCAATGCCTCAAACTGAAGATTCCGACTGTCGATGCTTTCAAATATCTTCGAGATATAGTAAAGAACAGTCGGGTCGGTTTCTATAGCCAGGCTTTCCTTTATATTTTCTGTTTCCTTTTTGGTCAATCTTTTTGATTTTATAAATGACACTAAAACCTTGGCATACCGCACAAAATCGTTGCCTGTCTGTTGATTCTCCAAACACTCAAATGTCCTAAGCGATGCTGTAAAATCGCCATTTACGAGATAAAAACACCCTAGTATGAGCTTGTGAAGCTCATTATCGCTTTCCTTTACAAATTCAAAACACTTTTTATATTCTGCGCTGTTCAAAAAGACAATCGCAGGATCTTGCTTATCCTTTAAAAAGAAAAGAGTCTCAAAGAAATCAGCATAATTCACGGGAGAGGCAAGCCCCTCAATCTTGTGGGCTTTGGCCAAACCTCCACATATTTTCTTCAAAAATTCAGACGCATTCTCCTTGTGCTCTCCATCTTTGTTTATTAAATTCAATAGAAAAAGATCTTTAAATGCCTCTCTGCGCATTTCCAGAGACGAGTGAAGATTAAATCGCTTTAAAATCAACGAGTCCATTCTCTTTAGCTTTTAGACATCTGTTGAGATAAATAAGCGCGCTTGTCAGATTCCCCAGTCTCTCGTAGCACTCGAAGATTCGGACGTTGACCTCAAAATCCGGATGTTCTATTTGGAGAAGATGCGCCAATGCCTCGCCAAACTTCTGCTCTTTAAAGCTAGCAAAGCCCTGTGCGGCAAGGGTACTTGCCTGTTTTTTATTTCTGATAAGCTTTGATGTGAGAAAATATGCAGCTGCGCTTGCCAGGATTCCTAGAATGAGCGCATCCTTCTTCCTACCCATTGGAGGGGCTAGGATACGAATGCACAAAACAATTCGCTTTGATGGCTTCATGCCACATGAGGCCAGTAACAAGGTTGCAAAAGACTTGTATATTTTTGATTCTCATGAACACGGCAAACTCCAAAACTCTTATCTAGCTAGGCACCAATTTAAGTGCTACGATTGCATCTATTAAGCCATATGCTTGATGCAGTCGGGATGGTTACCATCAATAAGCTTAAGGTAAAAATCACTGAAAATGTGCTTTTGCTAAAGTATTAATTTAATCAATCCTCTTTACCACCTCTGTTCCTTGCTTCACTGGGTGCCACTGTTGAAGTATTTCTTTTCTTGGTCTTAAAGTTGGAACCTGAAAATAGAATATTGGATGGATCACAGTTGTTGGTGCACTTCGATGCTGTTCCTTCGACCGTCTTTTTCAGGAAATCAGTGCATGGCCTACATTCGCCCTGAGTGGCAGACTTAGGCGTGGCTGGCTTTCCAATTACATTCACAACATGTCCAAGTGCATTCTCTTCTGCAGCAACATTGGATGTAGGGAAGAATGTGAAACATTCCTGCTCCTCAGGTTTGACAATATAATCAATCGTTTCAAATATAATCATAATAACCAGTTTATCATGATACCACAACTGTGCAACATTGTCGTGAACAGCTACCTTCCATACAATAGCAGTATAGAAATCTTTCAGAACATCCTTCACGAAGCATTCGTGATTAGATCGATCGAGTTTGTTCACGCAATTCTTCTTTTCTAGGTTCTTCTGGAAGTCATTAGTAGCTTGCTTAGTAGTTTCTTTAATAACCCGCTTCATTGTATCTTCAATTGCTTTCTGTGTCTTAGCTTTGGCTACCAAGCATTGCTGTTGCTTCTGAATTCTCTCTAGATGCTCAGTCACTGGATCTGCTTGCGGGATGTAAACACCTTCCGATAGCCGGTTATCTCTTGCACCACAGTCATCGCCCTTATTACCATACATTGCATCACTCATCACCTTATTCTGCAAATGGTTAATCATCACACCAGCCTCACTGTTCTGTGGACCCATCATACGTGCATTCATAGGATGGTTATCCGGCAATTCTTGAATTGTTAGTGCTTTACTGAGTGTAAGTAAGGAAAATATCATTGACACTACTCTGTTCATATTTGAAACTCAATTTATTTTTTTATAATGAAAAGTTGTCAAACATGTTTCAAGACCCTCCAATAGGGACTTAAAAAGCTGAAATGTTGTTTTAGAATTAACGTTTCATATCTGACAGCATATAAAATAGTATGGATCAATCGGAATTTAGTATGACATGTATCAGTAATATTGCCGGTGCATAATGAATTTCAAGTAACACCTGCTTGGTTTCAGAATGTCCATGGTTCAATAATGCATGGGGGTTAATTAATACAAACTAATTAAAGGGAAATTTTATATGTAAACATAGCTAGTAATCGTTGCATACTCATTGAGTTACCTCATTAACTATTTTTCTTTAATAGTAGTTGTTTTAGCTCCTGTGTCGAGAACGTTAAAAAAGATTATAATACAGCCCAAATATTATATCCATAAAATCAGACCAAAACTAATAAAAGCTCTAGTACACTAAAATTAAAATAACAACTTTAAAGCTACATCTTTTGTCTAGCTGCAATATGCCAAATAAATCAACACTAAACTAGAAATGTGCGAAGAATAGCACATTGTGTCGTAGATATTAATACAACAGCTTAAGCCTTAACTATTTATTGAGCAGAAGGTGTACAGCATGCACTGCTTGAGCTGCAGGACGAAGGGTTAATAGTAAATCCTGGAACGACAGGAAGCTCGGTCGTTCCAATATATGCAGTATTAATTGGGGTTTTGCCAAAGGAAGGATTTGAGCAATCAAACAAACCAGAGAATCCTCCTCCATTTTGATAGGAACTGCAAGCAGAAGGCTGAGAGTATCCAATGGGGCTGTTTCCTGGAACGAAACTGCCAGATCCATTCTGATAAGAACTGCAAGGCTGGGAGTATCCAATAGAATTGTTTCCTGGAACGAAACTGCCAGATCCATTCTGATAGGAACTGCAAGGCTGGGAGTATCCAATGGGGCTGTTTCCTGGAACGAAACTGCCAGATCCATTCTGATAGGAACTGCAAGGCTGGGAGTATCCAATAAGGCTGTTGGATTGGTCTGGTCTTGTTGAAGATTGTGAATAGCATGCTCCTCCGTTGCCACTTGATCCATCACCTGGATACAGTCCTGGAATAAACCCACCGCCGCCAGTGCTCTGTTGATTGCAACTTTGATTGCTGTAATCAGTTGACGACTGAGAGGGTGTGAATCTCTGAGGCACTAAAGAGTTGTTACCAGACTGCTTTGGACCACACTCTACTGAAGTAACCACGCTGCATTCTTGGGCCTGAGAAGATGTCATTCCTGGAATATTAGTAGTGTTACCATTTTGGGGATAGTATCCTGAAGAAGATCCACCACCTGTGGCACATGGAGTTGCGCCTTGGTTTGCACAATATCCAGGCCCTGATGGACTGGTTGGAGGTAAGAACCCCATCTCGTTGGATGGAGTAGTGTTGGTACAATACTGTCCAGATGAAAGCATTTTAGACATATCAGCAATCTGGTTTGCTGAGTAGTTCAAACCAGCACAGTTGTTGTACATGTTAGCATATACGCATGCCATCGTGAGAAGCAGCTCTAAGGGATTAAACATGATGAACATGTATTTTGGATGTATTTTATTTTTATATACATTATGAAACGGTCAGTTTCAGAACCTGAAACATAGAATGCCTTTGCAAAAAAAACCAATGAATGTAAAAGATCTCTGGGAAACTAGGGTTTATTTTGACACAAGTAGGGTATCGGATTGGTAAAGCATTGTTTTAGATATTAATTGGCCGATTCGTCTAATATTATTAGTTTGTAGTACAAACAGATTATAAATAGTTTAGTATATAATATGCAAAAATTGCTGTGATGGCATTTTAGACATTTAGTCACATTACTGTTGTTGGAGCACAAGATGACACTGTGACTTAAAATATTGCAAACACATTAAAACGAAAGACTAACGAACATTCAATATGGAACTGGCCGTTCTTGTAGCCAATGTACTGTCTATCTTATTTAATTAGTGAACAAAGCTGATATCCGTCATATGGCTTTCTCAGCAGCTTGTAAATACAATTTCCCATAGTGTCTGAAGAAAACTTTCCAGGAGAAAACTTCGATGTGCAAATGACCTTTGTCTTCGACCTATAGCTGTCCACATTCGAAATTTTATTAAATATTTCAAATAGCTCTGAATCAATAACAAGATAATCATACTCGATGCTGTTGATTTTCACCTCGAAGTCGTTATAAAAGAATACAACATCAGCCTTGGCTCCTCTACATTGAAGCATCTCAACCATTTCTGAGGGATCAAAGTCTTCGAAAATCAGTATCTTTGGCACTTTTTTTGTTGTCTTTTGGTTTTTTGCTATATTTTCGAGCATATCAGCAATTTTGGTCAGAATCTTAACAACCTTGCAATTAAAAAGAGACAGTCCCAGTCCATTATCTCTAATCTGCCTCAGCGTGTGATAGCTCTCTTTAACCACTATCTTGTTCAGCCTGTCGTAATTGTTTTTAGTAAAATCATTGTTCCAGAAAATATCCTGGTTTCTCTGCTTTCTGAAGTCATACTTATTAAGCTGTCTTGTAAAGCTGTCGAAGCTTGAAGTTTTAAAAAACTTTCTAAGGATCTCTTCACAGAACTTTTCACGATCATGAATAATGAAGGAGTCGTTTGAATTCCACTGGATTATCTCTGAAAACTCAGCACTTCCCAGTATGTCATAGAGCTTTTTGATGAATGGCTTTATTTTTCCATAAGGCATAGCATGAAATGTTGCATATTGCAAATCACAAATCAGTGTTTTGCAAAAGGGCATCTGCCATATGTTTTTGTATAAATCTCACCTAAACCAAGGCGCTCAATATTAAAAATGCCACATTTGTGCCATCCATCAATTTATCTACTAATTTCTTCACTACTATTATTTAAAAGTAGATGCAAAACAAAGTGCATATTGAGGTGCAGTGCGCTTCTGACAATAAAAATACTGTTGCAAAAGCGCGCATGATTCCCAGTGCCCACTAGTTCAGCGGCTTTATCGAAACTTCATTAGTAAGTTATTTTAAGGGGCTCACTCCAAAAGCAAACCCGTGATCGACTCAATGCATTATGCTAAGAACAACAAGTTGATTGTGCCCTTTTTTACACTTCAGCCATCTTCCAAGTCGTGATTCCCGTGAGATTGCACAGTATATCACTTCAGTTCCGAAAAAACCAATGGGTATTCCATCAACTGGCAATTCCTGTGCAATCACCATTCTATTAAAATTTGACAAATCGACCAGATAAATGAAGCATACGGTTCCAACAAGTAAATGAGTAGATCCTAGGATGTGGATGGCTGTTATGGCCGAGCCAAGCTTCAGAAAGCTTATTCTTTTCATATTGATTGTCGAGAAGCAATTCAAAACACCTGTGGAGCTCCCAACAATTAAAACATCACTTTTGAGGTACTTTAAAATTTCGGGAAATCCGTCAATTATCCTCAAGGACAATTTTTCTTTTGTTTTAAGATTGACAAATTGAATGTTTTGATCATTTTGTGATATTCCAGCAAGAGTGTGGCTATCAGACACATCAAAATATGCTAATGGAGACTCATTTATGAAATATGAACTTTTGAGAATCGTGTTTAATCCAAAGATTGAAACTTTCTTGCTCTTGGAGCCAACTAAAAGATTGTCAGCAGCTGGGTCGAAGACAGAGTAAATGCATTCCGATTCGCCAATACTTGTCTTAAAGGCGGTTTTGTGTTTTGAGTTGATTCCAAAAACGCTTCCATTCTTTTGGCAGCAAAAAAGCAGATTTTCAGAGCAAGCTAGAGAATTAACTTGGGAAGAAAAGAGAATGGATTTGAATGTGCGCATATCATCTGTGAAAAACACCCTTCTTCCCTTGGTGGCAATGTATGTCTTATCAAAGCAACAGCAGATCGCTGTTGGTGGTTTGCACAACTTGGCTTTGGCTGTTATACTGAGTTTCATCGGTGAGGTTAGAAAAATAGAAAAAATAGAATGCTGAGGCTGATTATTTATAGATAAAGCTATAAATCAACATGAAATGTATATATTTAAATACCTCATTTTACATTGGTTCGATGCTCACAAGAAACATGCTTCACTTTCAGACTGCTAAATCGATAAGCACAAACAGATAACCATTATGCTACAAGTAATTCATTCATATGCATTAATATCGCAGCATCCATAGTTTACTGTTTATTAGCTCCAAATACTGTTGAAAATTTTCTCATCTACCACCTCATCCAAATGAGTAAGTCGCAGACAAGTACCAAGCAGCCAGTAAAACAAAAGACACCGAAAGAAATGATCAAAATGCTGGAAGAGCAGTTATTTGGAGAGAAAAATAGAACAAAGAAAAAGGAAATACAGTCTATGATCAAGAAGTTTGAGCTGGAAATGGAGCTGGAAAGAAAAAAGAAGCAGGAGATAGACAACATCAGGAAGTCTGAAGTTGTGAAGCAGCTGATTCCTGTTGGTGTGGACCCAAAGACAGTGCAGTGTATTAACTTTCTTAATGGGAAATGCGAAAAGGGCGATCTGTGCCAGTTTGGGCATTTTTTAAAGAAGGAGGAAAAGAAGGAACAGAATGTGCCGCCACATCCAAAACAGAAAGTAGTATGCAAGTTCTTGATAGATGCGATTAATGGCGGAGAATATTCTAAGAGTTGGGAATGTCCACTTCCCAACTGCCAGGACATCCATAGACTTATTGAGCTGTCCAATAACCAAGAAGTAGAGGTGTCCCTTGAGGAATATATCGAGCTGCAGAGACAAACAATAGACGAGAACAGTCTTACACCTGTGAATGAAAAGACGTTTGCTGAGTGGAAGGCTAAAAAGGATAGAGAGGACGAGTTGCATGCAAAGAGAGTTGCAGCCCTATCAGGAAATGTCAAAGGATGTGATCTATTCCTTAAAAATCCAGAAATGTTTGAAGATGATGACGAAGCAGGCGAAGAAATTAACTATGCCGAGCGTAACTATGAAGAGTCAGAAGAGAAAGAGCAGGAACGATTTGCTGAGGATTAAATTTAAATTACATTCGCTTATTACGTTTTGTAAACAAAGTGTAAAATGTCGTTGGTGTTAAGGCCCAATCTTAGACCAACCGGCTGATAGGTTTTGTAAATTGCAGTGTCTACGTCTGTGCATTCATAAAGAAAGCACTCTGCTTGCGTGTGTGATTTGAAGACAAAGACAGTTGAAAATCTTGCTTTATCACTTGAATTTCGATTTTAAGACATGGCATTCCCTCCAAAACTTCCCTCCAAAATGGATTTATAAAACCAAAAATTTACAGAACTATGCTAAAGAGTGTGTTCCAGGATATTACGAATATCTCCTCCAAGCGCATCAAGCTGACAATACACAAATCTTCCCATCGCAAAAGACTTCTCAGATGGCTTTATGAGGTATGCAGAGACTTCAGGTATTCCATCTATACCTACACCACGGCAGTGCTTATAATAGACAAATATACCGAAAAAAATGGCTTTGAGCTGAAGGAGTACCAGCTTATTGGAATATCCTGTCTCTTTCTGGCGGCCAAGATAGAGGAGTCAAAAACAAAGCGGGTTTTAGAATACTCAGTGGTAACAGATGGAGCATTCACAGCAAAGGAAATACTAAGGACAGAGTGGTCTATTTTTGAATCTCTAGGCCACGAGCTACACTTAAAGCTTCCACAGTACTATTTCAATCCTGACTATTTTAGGACACGCTTTTCATTTCTTGAGTTTGAGCATAAGAAAGAGCTGTTGAACTGCTTTATAGCAGCACAGCTAGAAGTCAGATCGTACACAAGAAATGTTTTCCTTCTATATCTTGAATCTAAAAGAGAAATGGAAGTATGGCTAGCTGATGAGTATAAAACAGTACCTGAAATGGCAAAATTTTATATAAAAAACAACCCACTTATTTATAATATCTTAGACAGCATTCTAAACTTACAGGATGCAAAACAAATCAAATAAATGTACACTTAAATCAACTGCTACTGTTTTGCTGAATTGCCCTAGGCACTGCTATACTTCTCCATACTGTAGATTAACACTGTTATTGATGGTATTTAAAATCTAAATTGGAATGTTCTAAAGCACAGTCCAGTGACAAGATAAACTGATATTTTTTGTTTTTTTTGGTCCCATGTCAACACCAGCAAAGAGACGACTACTAAAAGATTTTAATGAAATCCAGAAAGTGAACTGTACTGGAATATTCGCACAGCCTCTAGAAGAAGATCTACTGACGTGGACAGCAATCATTTTGGGACCAGACAACACACCATTTGAAAATGGAACTTTTTCTTTGGTACTTACATTCGACGAAGGATATCCCCAGCACCCTCCAGAAGTCACATTCGTATCTGAAATGTTCCACCCAAACATTTACCCAAACGGAGATCTGTGCCTTGACATACTTAAGAGTAGATGGTCGCCATCATACGATGTGCAAGGAATTCTGCTGAGCATCCAAAGCCTGCTAAACGATCCAAACACCAAATCACCAGCCAACCCAGAGGCTGCCAAGCTTTTTCAAGAAAGTTTGGAAGAGTACAAAAAGAGAGTCAAGGCATGTGTGGAAGGCAGCTGGACAGATATTGATAGACTTGTAAAGAGCATAGAGGAATAGTGCAGCACAAATGGCTTTATTACAGTTGATATTGTTTGCATGTACAGACCTGAATGATTTAATTTACTGGGAAAACCATTAGTTAGACATCTAAAATGTCTTTGTACTCTTCTGCAGATCATTGTTGCACAGGCATGGATTTAAAAATAAATTTAATTCTGGGACATCACTGTCTCGTATTATATATAAGTTCACTTCTAACTTATTTACACATCCTTTTCTTTAGAGTCTGCAGTGACGTTAATTTATCTGGATTTTTTTCACCAAAAAATGGCTGTGTTCCAGTACGTGGAAAGTGAGATGTTAAAAGCAAGTAAGTCATAAATAAAAATAGAATATGCTCTATTATCTTGGCAAAGTAGAACAGAAACGTCCTGACATTGATGGTTACAAAGCACCTGACGATTCCAAAGCCAGGAGTAAATTGTTGCAAGGTGGCGAGATATAGAAAAAGAGTCAACAGAAATACAATTCCAAAAGAATCTCCATATGAAAACTTGCGTTTTTCTTTCCTTTGAATAGACTGCTCAATTATAAAATACTCAAATAAACAGAACAAGATAGATGGAATAATGGAGTAAAACATAGAATGGTCCGTAGAAAAGCCAAACACAGAATAGTCCCCATGATACAATGCCACTGTATAATAGATCAAGTAGAAAACAATATTACTGAGATTCATACACATAACAACTGAGTTCAGAATGTAAGAATCTAGAAGATCAAACTTTCGTTTTGGAGTAAGTTGGAATGTTTTGCAAAGTAAAAAGAAGCACAAGTTGAACATAGAGATGCAGAGAAGAGGCATGCCAATAATAATTTGTGCAATGTAAAGGCAAAAGACGGAGGAAATGTGCAGAAATCTATCAAAGGAAGGGAAGATTTTGGCATCGAAAAATTCGTCGTTCGTAATACTTTGCTTCTCAGTGGTCGTAGTTGCGAGGACCAGATTTGCTAAGAGTGGGAAAAGCATTTGCTTGGGTAAAATTTTTACGGCTGCAAATGCAAAAAAATACTCATCCTTGAAAATATAAGCGTGTGTCATTGTAGAATGCCGTGAGTCTCTGATAATTTTGCCAAATTTTGGACACAAAAGATAAATGTTTGGGTGCAAGCTTTACAACGAAGACTGCTAAGACGTCAATGGTATTTGCTTATAAACCTACTTGCAA